AATTTTACTGTGAAAATCTTTAAACACATCCAAAACCTATTTTTTGGATTTCAAAGCAAAACATCAAACTTTTCTAGCAAAGTCATCAATAAAAGTTACAAAATAAATAGCACCACCAAGAGACTTATCTTTCATATAGCAAATATCAGTGTGCACCAATTCTAATGGATTCAATTTTGTAGATGGAAGAAAATTTTTGAATGCAACTCTATGTTGATTCCCATAAATGCAGTCAACACAAGGTTTAAGTGTATTACCTCTAACTTCAGGTAGGTGTCTAAATCCCTTTTTCACCCATATGCCCAAGTCGCCTATGCCACAGGTCAATTGATGAATTACGAACTGCATTGACTTCTCCTTTCCCCAACTTGGCTTGCATCAAGTAGAGGGTACTCTATTTCTTTTCTCTAGCAACAACGAGATTTCCTTTGCTGAGTTTTCATTTGCCTCCACCTTGCAAACTATGGTAACCCTCATCGTCAAGTTTTCCTGTAGAGATAAGATTAAGGCGAATATTAGGGACATGTCGAGCATTTTTTAATATTAGCTAACACCCGGTATCTGTATCCAAATATATGTCTCCCATGCCAACAACTTTGCATGAGACCTCATTTCCCATCCTAACATATCCAAAATCTCTTTCGGTGTAGGTTGAGAAGAAGTGCCTGTGAGGAGTAACATGGTAGGATGCACTTGAATCAACTACCCAATCACTATCATAATGAATAATATTCACCTGACCATTATCACAGAACACAAATATATTATCATGAGCTGCCGCAACTGCTGTAGTTTCTTCATCATTTTTTTCCTTCGTCTTACCCTTTTTTTCAACTTGTTCCCGTTTTAGAATTATGCACTCCTTTATATAATATCCATTCTTTTTACAATAATAGTATGCAATATTTTTTCGCGACTCAGACCTGCCTTTGGATTTGTCATTCCTGTTGTGGGTCCTTTACTTTTGCTTCTCCCTTTTCTTTCTTTCTTTTCTGTCACCAGGGTTTAGGACTTATAGACAATTCCTTGTTCCTTCCTCCTGAACTCTTCATTCATCACGGCCTCTTTTGCAATAGTCATGGTCAACACACCATTTGGAGCTGAATTGCTGACGGAGACCACCATAGTTTCCCAACTATCCGGTAGTGAACTGAATAATAGTAAAGTTTGCACTTCATCATCCAATTTCAAATTTAACGTAGTTGCCTGGATTATCTATCCCTGAAAATTACTCAGGTGTTCAGTCATATCTTCCCCATCCTTATATCTCATCCGAGTAATCTGCTTTAGACAACTAGTTTTGTTCAATCCGATTTTCCTTTCATACGTACTCTCAACATTTTTCCATAATACATCAGCTCTGGTGTCATTAGCAAAATGTTGAAAAATAGTTTGACCAATTCATTTTCTAATATTACCAACAGTTTTTCTGTGCATAACAACTCATTTTTCATCACTCATATCACTTAGTCTGCCTTTATCCCCTAGAACAGGTTTAAACAAATCTCTACAATACAAGTTGTCTTCCATTCTGGGCTTTTAAATTGAATAATTAGTGGCATTCAATTTTATCATGCAACCACTATCCGAATCATCCATTTTTAACCAGTACAAATGAGCAGTCTAACCTGACTGCTCTGATATCACTTATTGGGAAAGCGGTACCAGTACAGGCACACAATATTAGAGTTAGCCCAAGATAAATTTCTCTTTCCCCAAGTATCAGTTAAAACAGGAACAAATCAAATCACCAAGTAATAAGGTCCGCAGTAATAATAAAATGCAAGAAAAATAGAAAGCACATGACACCAAGATTTTTACTTGGAAAACCCAATTGGAAAAAATCATGGGACCTAATCCAATCACAATCTCCACTATCACAATAATGAAAATACACAAGTCTATCCGAAATATTCGGACGACAATAATATCACCGCCACCAACCAAATGAAATTGCTACAAAATTACTTCTAAAAATTACAACTGTCAAAAAAGTGAGTTTAAAAACGTGTTACTAAACGAAAAGAAAATCTGAAATCTGAACCGGTAGATGAGTAGAGTTTAACAAGAGAATCTCGTGTGTAAAATTAAGTCTCAATCAGATTTCAAATCACCTTTCAATCAAGACCTTGAAGTTTTTCTCTCTCTTCGTGTCTCTCAAAAGTGACGGCTGGCTCTTTTTCTCGCACACCAGGACCGAAAACATCTTGCGGCTGCTATTTGTATTTAAGCTTCAGGAAAACCTCAAGCGTTGCTTTCTTGCACAAATGGGCTGGCCCACATCCAACAATATCAAAGTTGATATACATGGTTATTGAGAGCACGTTGAGGTATCCTTGACCTATTTACTTTGCCTGATTCTCCAAATTTCAGAGGCGGCTCAGGATATTAACAACCTTCAATTATCAATCTTCCAGCTAGTACTAGTTTCCACATATGTCTTAATCCAAACAACCACTATAAGATTCCAAGGAAAACATAATCCAATTTAAAAGAGCCGACACTTTTTCTTATTCATCACGAGGTAGAGCCTACTATTGACTATAATTATATTGTCATATTATATAGGGTCTGTGTGTTGATTTTTTAATTTGTTTTGCAGTTTTCGTGCACAAGAACTGTTGAATAAGATCAGATTTTTTTTTTTAATTCATTAAGTAGAGACTTGTAAGACCAAGGAGAAGATACAAACATCTGAAACAATTTCCAGCATGCAAGTAAGTTTACAGTGGCCTTG